ACTACCTATCTATTGTTGCAGCCAAGGCCTGCATTGTTGTTATTATTTTGGCAGCTGCAGCACATTGCTGGCTCATATTTAAGTGGTTGTCCACTTAATTATAGCAATAGCACTAAGATTTATATACCGCTCCACTCTCTGAGTGGTTTAGCATATTATTCCCCCAATAATCTGGGTTCTCATTTTACCGACTTTGGAAGGATGGAAGGCTAGTCAACCTTGAGTTCCTGTCAGACTCGAACTCCAGGCTGTGGGCAGAGTTTGCCTGCAATACTGCACTCTAACCACTGTGCCATTGTTGTATATCTCTGACATGCTTTTTTGCATTTGCATCCTTATTTCTATGGGAAGTGGAGATGAGGAAGAACAAGTATCACATGTAAGGGCATCTACCTCTAAATGAGTATTATATTCTTTCAATTTCAGTAAAATTGAAGTTGCCAGAAAATATTAATGCCTGAAGGACTGATGCAGAGTAACTCTGAGATATTAGAGGAAATATAATAAGCCATTTGTTTATTGAGTTTAACTGATGTGTGTTAGTGCAAAGTGGCAGTCTCTCCTCTCCATCTGTTGCCATTGATGTAGCTGGAGGTATATGGTGGTGGTGCAGAATCATACAGCATGTTTTGAGATACAGTAGTGAGCTATGATAGCCAATGGGGTTGATAATGATAACCTTTACTGGGAATTGGTGAAAACAAAGAAAGGGACACAATCATTATCTGGCTTCTTTCATTGATTGAAGTTTTTTGCAGATTGGAATACAATTAGCCCATAAGCCAGTATAGTGTGCCTAGCTAATTTAGGTTTGTTTCTGCTACACCCCCAGTTCTGTGGTATTCCAACAATGATTGATTAAGACAATGATAGATTTGGTAATATAAAAAATCCTGCTTGGTCTCTTTATGGCTGTCAAAATTCCATTTGAGCAAGATAATTGGCTCTGGTGATTTTTTTGTTCAAAACTGGACTCGTTGACCTATTCCAGTGGTGGCGAACATATGGCACGCGTGCCACAGGTGGCATGCAGAGCTCTCTCTATGGGCACGCACTCTGTCGCCCCATTCCTAGGCCTTCAGCTGGGTTTTATAAAACCTTTTCACTTTAGGCCTCCACCGCTGTGTGCAAAGAAAAAAGGTTCAATCAATTTCAACTTCTCATGGAAAAAAATAATCTCGCAAAGTTGGAATTGATTGATTGAACTTTTTAGTCCCACCCAGTCTGCCGTTACCACTGCAGCCATGCCCACCCAATGGGCCACGCCCACCCAATGAGCCACACCCACCCGGCACCTCTTTATACATAAGTGGGTTTTGGGTTGCAGTTTGGGCACTCGGTCTCTAAAAGTTTCACCATCACTGACCTATTCTTTCAAAAAGCAGTATGGTTTATCTTTCTCAGCTTGTGAACTAATAATATTTAGAGAATTTACACCTGCTAATATCATTATTATACATAGACCATCTGCAATTATATGCCTCAATGGATCTGTTCGGTTGTTGAAAATAGTTAAGTAAATACCAAAGATGAATATTGAGAGAATATTTTTTATTGTTGTTTTCATATACCGATGTGGTCAAAAGTATTGGTACTCTTTCCCAAAGAATCCCAGTTTGTTGGGAAATAAGTTGAAACTGAGACAATTAAATGGCATCCTCAGTTTTTTATTCCACAATACACTGAGCACATATTTTGCTTTTGATGCATGATTTAACATATTCTCGTGTCAACTGCAACTTATTTCATGGCAAATTGAGATTCTTTTTGGAAAATGTACCAATACATTGGGCCTCCCACTCTGTATAGTCTGCTGAATAATTGACCCTTTATGGGAGGAAATTACTTTTTTCCAAGCTGACATCAGCATTACAAAAAGCTACTGATATGGTTTTCTAAAAATCATATTTCACATGTGAACACTATGCAGGTTGACATATAGTCTAACTGGGCAGGCTACCTGGCTACAATTTGTCTCTCAGAACTAAATAACTTAATACAGTAACTGGGGATTCAGATACTTTTCCTACCAAAGTGCTGAGTACAGAAAATGCTTCTGTTTTTCTTTACAGAGATTCTTTAGTTCATTTATTCAGCCTAATAATACATGTAAGTTGTTCTTGAAAAAGTAGAAATGCCCAGAAACTATGTGTATGTTTGAGAATATATGTATCTTTGCCTCTTACCTGGTTTTGATTGCCTGAATTTCCTTGTAAAATACCATTATGAAGAAAATATTTTCACCTGATTCTAAAAACAATATTTATTTTTAATGCTCTTTTCAAGACTGCGGGAAACAGTCTTGGCAGGATCTTATGTTCTGCCCTGTGAATGTATTATTCAGCAGGCTAATTCTTAAACTTCTTTTTTTAGACTGTTTCTCATTTTATTGTAGTTCACTGGTCAATAGTGTAATTGGTTCACTATTGCAGGAGTGATTTCAGGTTAGAAAGACTCATAAACAGTTTTTCTATTTGTTAGATGGAAATTGATGGACAGTGATTAGCATTACATAGCAGAAAGAACATGTGGCAGAGAAACTCTAAAACTAAGAGTTTAAAAGATAAGCTTTATTCAGGAAATAACATGGTGATCTGGAAGCCCAAGTTACTACTATCTACAGTAGCAATGATCCTAAGATAGGGGAAGGAGAGGGAAGAGGAAAGTACCTAAACTGCACAGGTCAGAATCAAAATGAAAACTGGAGATAAATATTCGTTCTCTATATCCATTGCTCCTATTGCCAGTTACTTCTGTGTTGCTGACAACAAAGCTACATAGGCATTAGCCACCAGGAATCCAGTTAAAGTCCAGATAGTCACCAGGAATCAAGTGTTCTCATTTGATTATGTGATATTAGATTGTTGACCCTACCCCCAAATGGTGCGGGATGGGGAAAAAACATGCATTAAACATATAATTAAAATTACATTGTTGTTAATGTGATTGTTTCCTATGTATTAAATGCTCTTCTCCCATTGTCACATAAGCTTTAGTACAGGGGTCTTCAGGCATGCTGGCTGAGGAATTCTGGGAGTTGAAGTCCACAAGTCATAAAAGGGCCAAGTTTGAAGAGCCCTGCTTTAGTAAGTCCAGTGGCCTTCTGGGAAGAGTTGTAGTAGCCACATGGAGGGCTTTGGTGGAATTTACACATCATAAGAACCTCACCACCCACCACTGCCTGAAAAGCTTTAGCAGTCAGACTTTAAGGCGTCAGCCAGGCTTGGGGGTTGGCATGTGTCACCTCAAGTGGCAAAATGACAAATTAAGAAGGGAATTCCCTTTGAAAAGTCATTTAAAAAAAATGAAGAAAATAATCAGAACTGATCCATATCTCTGTTCATTCAGATCATTAATTTTCATGGGGGCTATGAGCTGTATTGTACAGCAATAACACCACCGTGGTTCCACCAGGATCAGAATTAGTAAATTCTCTTCAGCACTTTTTTGAGGCATGACAATCATATAAGCAGCCAACAGTGTGTGATTCTATAGAAAAGATTTCTATTTGCATCCTTATTATTGCCCTTAAAACAATAATTTATTAGCCTAATATTGGCCCCTAGCTTGGAAAACTTGATCGCTGTATGTGGCTTCTGTTTGCTTTAGCTTCTTACGTACTTTTCCTGTAGCTGAATTTTATGAAACAGCTTTTCCTCAGGAAAAATAAAATTGTGCAGTAGGTTTTCAGTGACATGTTTTCTCTCTTTCTCTATTTCTCGTTTTAATAATTTAAAATTACTGTTCATTATTTATGTAAATCTATCTTTCTTGGTCCTGCTTTCTCTAACCTTTCCCCTTTAGAGAATTTTAGGAATTCTCTGACTTTCCTCTGGGAAATCCTAGACTGTTTCATCTAAGACCAAAGTTGAAATGATTGGTAATTTTGAAAAGAGGGAGGGTGCATGGTTACCTTTAAAACATCCTTTTGTTTTACTTCCATGCAAATTTTGCCATTTTCAAGCCTTTTAAATTCGGCATGTATTTGGGGAATACATGCTTCTATTTAATGTTCAACGTTTTAGCCCAAGATATAAATTTCAGCAAGTCAAATGAAGGATTCTTTTGACTGAATGGGAAAAAACATGCATGCATGCCCTAAAGGCCAGATATTTCAAATACACTTCCAGGATTCTACTCTGCTGTGTGTGCATGGTTTTTTTAATGTTTCTCTTAATGAAGACGTGTCACAACCAGAGTCTTTAAAAATGACCCTTGCAGACACCTCCCACATTCCAGATCCTTTACTCTAACAGCTGTGAACCTAAGCCAACTGAACATTCACAATCTTGGCAGAAGCTCACATAATCCCTGTCTCTCTTCCTTTCTTCCTGCTTTCATGCAAGCACAGTAAAAAATGTTTTACATTAGACATTCTTAATTATTTTGATGGCTAAAAATGTGTTGGTTTTTACAGCCTAGAATTTATGCCTAATTAAACTGTCACATATATTAGAACATCCTTTGTTACAAATCCAAAAGTGCATCAGAGATTCTAAAATTCACAATACTATTCCTATAGAAAAAAACAACCCCAAAGATTGTTAGCCAAATTATATTAATGCAAACAGTTACCATCACTGTAATTATTCAGTAGGATTATACTGATACAGTTTGAAGGAATTAAACATAATCACTACAGCAGATACAATTGATAATATTGTAACATCATGTTTGCAAATTTCATTAAGATTATTTTCTCACTTCCTGACCTATAGTCTTATTTCAACTTATCAACCAGTCATTGGATGCCATTTAGGCCACTGAATTTGGTCAGGAATAGTATTTGAAGACAAAAAGCTGTACATAGGATTTTATTTAATTATACTGTGCATTATACATGTGGTAATACATCTGCTGCTAATTTTTATGGAAGGAACTTGTAGAGGTATTGTTTGTATTTAAAACCTAAATTTTCCCATACACCATCAAGTGTCTTAGACAAAAATGACAGCCATTATTTCATTGACCTCACTTTTTATTCTTCTTTTGCTATTTAGGCTCCTTCAAAAATGATTTGGCTGCCTTCAAGACCTGGAGCTCTAATGCCACAATGAGGACTCACACACGGGGAGCTCCCAGTGTGTTTTTCATACATGTGGTTTGCTTCGCACTAATCTGCAGCACTGACAACAACCCAAGCACTGCTGTTCCATTTGTCAATGCCAATTACGACAACTACCCTATGCTCTACTTCTCTAGACGAGAGATACAAGATCTCCGTTATAAGGCAGCCAGTACGCATCAACACATTGCAGCTCGGTTGGTTGAAGCTGTGCAGATCATGCTGTCAAACTCTTTGGAGTATCTTCCTCCCTGGGACCCCAAAGACTTCAGTGCTCGGTGGAATGAAATCTATGGCAACAATTTGGGTGCCCTGGCAATGTTCTGCATACTTTATCCAGACAACATGGAAGCCATTGATATGGCCAAAGACTACATGGAAAGAATGGCGGCTCAGCCTAGTTGGTAGATTTTTGTCTTGTTTTTATTGCAAAACATAGCAGTGCATATTTGGTATATAAAGAGTAAAGGAGAAAGCTTTGGTTTCTTTTCATAACTGTGTTTTTAGGGAATACCTATTTTTAAAGTTTATATCTAAAACAAGCATCATTATCTTTAATGTATTCCAGTATAAAGGTCATATAAGCTAGTATTTGAATGTCCATTCTCAATCTAGAAACTTCAGTTTAGAGGTCCAAAACAGAATATCGGTTTTTCTCCAGTCTGGGAAGATGCTTGTAAGCCTAGGTCAGCCCCACACCATCCCAAATTCAGGTTTTCTATTAAAAAACAACACTCTGGCCACTATCTGATTGCTGGTTGATTCTTTTCAACCATAAATAGTAGTCAGGTAGGCTGTTAAACTAACCTATATATAATTTAATACAGTTCTCAGCTTTATCCTAGAGAAGGGGTACAACTGAGCTAAATGAATTTAGAAATTTGCTTGTATTTTAAAATATTACTTGGAAATCTGCATTTAAATTAAATAAACATGACCAATTCTTCATACTTTTTTAAAGGAAACTTTGTTTAATTATAATATAGGATATAAAATTGTGTTTTTTTTTTAAGTTTAAAGTTCTGGCTTTAGTATGTGTTTTAAATTTCAACCATCATCTTTAACACTCGTAAATACCTATATGAATATAGTGAACATTCTTGCTGCATAATGAAAAGGCCAGAAAATATGACCACCATTTATTTTAATTGTCAAAAATAGTGTGTGGGAGGAACCACAATAATTACAGAATAACAGAGTTGGAATCTCCTGCCCAGAAGACCCTATACTATTTTGGACTGTCCAATCTCCTCTTAAAAACTTCGAGTGATTGGAGCCCCTGCAACTTCTGGAGGCAAGCTGTTCCACTGGTTAATTCACTGACAGAAACTTTATCCTGAATTCTAGGTTGTACCTCTCTTTGGTAAGCTTCCATCCATTACTTCTTTTCTTACCGTCAGGGGTTTTCAACCTTGGCAACTTTAAGACTTGTGGACTTCAACTCCCAGAATTCCTCAGCCAGCTTTGCTGGCTGAGGAATTCTGGGAGTTGAAGTCCACAAGTCTTAAAGTTGCCAAGGTTGAGAACCCCTGCCTCAGATGCTTTGGAGACTAGGTTGACCCCTTCCTCTCTGACAACCCTTCAAATATTGGAGTGCTACCATGTCACAGATAGTCCTTCTCTTTGTTAGATTTGTTAGACATTCCCAGGTCCTGCCCCCTTCATCATACAGTTTAGCCTCCAGTCCCCTAAACATCTTCATTGCTCTTCTCTGCACTCTTTCTAGAGTCTCAACATCTTTTTGTATGACATTATTATTGTTATTCTGTAATCTGTATTTACTGTGGTTGCCCCCGCACACACTATTTTTGACAGTTGAAATAAATGGTCATTTTCTCTAGCCTTTTCATTATGTAGGAATAATGTTCATTATATTCATGCAAGTATTTATAAATGTTAAAGATTATGTTTGAAGTTTAAATCAAACATTTAAGTCGTTTTTTCATGTCAGAGAGTAGTAAAAGCTACTCTAGTTTAAAAGTACTTCTTGTTAAAGTGGCAATAAAAGAGCTGTGGAGTTCAAAAGAAGAAAGGTAATAAATTAGAATCTGACTATTTGATCCAGAGTTTACTCATTTTTAAAAATGCTTGGCAGAAATAATATGCAATTTCAATTTGACAATGCAGTTTGAAATTCCTTAAGGCAGGAGTCTTCAAACTTGGACCTTTTATGACTTGTGGACTTCAACTCCCAGAATTCCTCAGTCAGGCACGCCCAGGGTGTGCCTCGCTGAGGAATTCTGGGAGTTGAAGTCCACAAATCATAAAAGGGACAAGTTTGAAGACTCCTGCCTTAAGGTGTCCATATATAAAAGCAATCCTTGTTTGCAAGTTGCAAAGTCTGTCTAATAGCAGTTTTGCAACAAATGAAAGTCCTAAGAAACAATATGATTGGCATTGGAGTAGAGAGAAAGAAATTAGTTCACTGTCATTTTCAAGTTTAAAATTTACTGTGAGATGAGTTTTGTGGATATAAACTAAATACTTGCCATTATGTGGGATACTTTTCCTCAAAAACATTCCTGTAATAAAATAATGATTTCAAATTCAACCTTTAGGCAACTTGAACACTGCTATTGTATGATTTGAAAGGCATCTTTGTTTTTGTTTTCTTTATCAAGACTGAATAATCTTGATAAAGCATCTAAGTATTTTAAATGATGCAGCTTCTGGCTCATGGAATACAACTTGAAATCTTAGTTTGTGCTTAGATAACCTGTATCTGAAATTTATCTTTTTTTTTTGCAGTTAACCGCATGACATATCTTTCCTCTAAACACTTACCTGTAATCTCTTTTGAAACAGAGATAATGCTGTTAATTTTAATTTAATTTTCACTATAACTTTTACTGTTCTATATTGTCAGTTAAATTTATTTCTTTAGAGATTTTTTTTATTCCACCTTTATTAGTTTTATAAATAACTCAAGGTGGCAAACATATCTGATACTTAATATCTATGGAGATTCTCAGGCATCCAGGTAATGGTTGTCCCAAAGGTGCTTTTTCAGGAGGCAACTGAACTTGAAAAAGGAAAAGGAAAAAAAAAAGGGGGGGGGGAGGGAGAAAGAAAAACAAGCAAGTCCAGTTGCCTCCTGAAAAAGTACCTTTGGGAGATCTGATACTCCTTCCCTATCCTGTTTTCCTCACAACAACAAACCTGTGAGGGGGCTTGGGTTCAGAGAGAGCGACTGGTCCAAAGTCTCCCATCTGGCTTTCATGTCTAAGGGCAGGGCTAGAACTTAGTCTCCTGATTTCTAGCTGAGGGCCTTAATAACTAGAGTAAAATTTTCGGGTAGCCCAAATTTCCTTTATTTCACTACATAGAAGTTATACTACCTAAAATTAAATTAATCAAATACTATGGGTATTAAAAGTTAAATTGGAATATTGCAATTAAATATTAAAATTAGGTAAAGCTTTAAAACAGGATATGGATATGAATAACTAGACCAAAATGATTCCCTCAGTAGATTATACTATATTTCAGACTCTACAGTTCTCAGAAGACGTTCTACATATTGGATGATAATAATTGTCATCATTATAGACAATTCTATGAACAATTTATACATTATAGTAAAAGACAGTATGAATTATGTTCTGTAGCTAAAACTCCACAAATGCTTGGCATATGCTAAAATTTATCTTCAGGCTTCTGGCAGCTAGTGTTATATCAATATGTTTCAGTCTTGGATTCGGGCCATGAGGGGCTACAGTGAGTGTTTAATAAATTGAACACCTGGCCAACAGATTCCTAAAATTCTACTTTGCCAAAATAATTCACCAGATATTAAGAATTTGAAATTAAAATCAAAATAAAGATAAAGGTTTCCCCTGTCCAGTCATGTCTGACTCTAGGTGTCAATGTTCATCTCTGTTTCTTAGCCAAGGGAGCCAACATTGTCTGAAGACATTTCTGTGGTCATGTAGCCAGCATGACTATAGGCCGAGGTGCACCTTCCCACCAAAATGGTACCTATTTATCTACTCACATTTTCATGCTTTTGAACTGCTAGGTGAGCAGGAGCTGGGACAAGAATGGGAACTCACTCTATTGCGCAGTGCTCGGGTCTCAAATCTGGGCTGTCGACTTTCCAGCTGACAAGCCCAGCGTCTTAACCACTGAGCCATCACATCCCTCTCAAAATCAAAATATGCTGCTATAAACTTGATTGTTACACTGTGTGTTGAAGATTGGGGCTATGCAGACCATTCAAAAGCTATCAGACTTTGCAGAAGTGTTTGCTCTGCATCTCCATGTAAGCTCAGTCCACGGGAGAAGCCCTTTGAGCAGCTTAAGGCTTTGAGAGGATTCTATGCTATAACATTACAACCATCAGTTTTGAAGAGGTGCTTCAGTTGCTAGGTAAAACTGCCTCTCCAAATAATTACTGAACTCTATTTGGAGTCATCAGGAAATGTTTTATCCCAAATATGAAGAGATCTATTATTTTTAATGTGCAAAAGATAAACTAAGTCTAGTGATCCTACTTTGGAGCCATATGTATTTCAATACTTTTTATTAAACTGCAAGCTAGTTCGTAATAATATTATCTACCACTTTTGAGTTACTCTGTAGAGAAAAATCACATGGTACAATTATCTGGGGGCTATGTGACACCAAAATACAAATGTTGGATTATTTATTATAGCCTTTCCTCCTGCCAAAATTCCTCAGTAGAAGAGTTCATAACAAAATGCAGCTCATGATAACACACTCCATTTCCAGTTCTCTGCCTTGAGAAGAGAATAAAAGAGCAAAATCATTTTCATATACTTGTGTAAGTGGCCTCAGAACAGCCTTCCACAGTCTCAGTTTCAATGAATAGAATTCAACTGCTATAATTTCTCCAGCCAGGTATTACTGAGAATTCTAGGAGATGCCACTTAAAGCAATTTTTAAAAATAACTATTTTATACATTTAAATTTATGCGGCACCCAACTCCAATAGATTCCAATTCCAATTTAATTGCACTGGTATAGTTCCAGTAGTTTTTTTTAGAGAGCACAACAGTAGTGACAGGGAAACAAAACATTCATTCATTCATTCATTTGCTATAGCCACTCATCTCAGTTAATGATATGTCTAATGTCTTACAGTTAAGACACATTTTAAACATTTTTTAAAAAATCTTGAACCAAACCTAGAAATCAATAACATTTTTATTGTTTTTATGTAAGATTGATGGTGTGGAAGCAAAACAAGACCATGCGTCATACTATAGACTGAATAAAAAAAAAGCAGAGCTAAAAGAATTTTGGTAATATTAAATACTAGAATATTAACTGAAGTCTTGTTCTGAAAATGTAAAAGTGACCATGTAATCAATGCTTCAGTTGACATCATACAAATTCTGCCAAAGGTTGAAGGCTAACCTTACCTGGTTGCTTGGCCTCACGTGATGGAGAAGATGTGATGTTAGATACCATCTCATGTGTTAAAGGGAAAACACATCGATTTTTAATACAAACAAAACTTGAGTTTGTCTTCTTGATTCTCTGGACTGAAAATAATAACAAGAACAACAATTTGATTCAGGAAGGGTTGTTTTAGAGTAAATATGACTAATGAATTTTCAAACTAGTTTGAATTGAAAAACAGAATGATCTGCTATAAGTTGTTTGAAATTTTAATAAAGATTAAATTGAATAGACAAATTGTTTGAAATTGCAATGTTAATCTCAAGAAAGAAACTAGGTTTACAAACCCCAGAATTCTTGGATTAAACATAAATTCTTGCTATTGTAAAAGCAGAAGAAACCCACAATTTTAATGATGCAATTTGTTTATCTCACCCCCCCCCCAATCTTTTGTGTGATATCTGGGCATCTGGAAGGCTTACAAATAATATCCATCTCTTTGATAATGAACAGAGGACCATTAAGATTAGCTTGAAAATGAGCCAAGCCTCTTTTCCATTGTGGAAGGCAGTGTTCAGTTTATTCCCTGCACATTTCTGAATTACATTGCATTAATCTGTATGCAATTTTTATATGGCATGGGTCTTCAGCCCCAAGCAACGAAAAAGCTGAAGATAGGGAAAGATTAATATATGAGTGGAGAGGTGCATGCTCAGTATCAGCTGTTTGATGCAATTCTCAGTTTTCTATTTTAAAATCTGTAAAGTTTAAACAGTAATGTTTCTGTAGCCTGCATCTTTCTATAAGATGTGTAGAAATGATGCCTTTTCTCTTTTACAGGTTAGTGAAGGATGCTCCATGGGATGAGGTTCCCCTTGCTCACTCTTTGGTTGGATTTGCCACTGCTTATGACTTTTTATATAACTACCTTAGCAAGTCCCAGCAGGAAAAATTTCTGGAAGTAATTGCCAATGCCTCAGGATATATGTATGAAGCATCATATAGGCGTGGATGGGGTTTCCAGTATCTACATAACCATCAGCCTACCAACTGTTTGGCCTTGCTGCTAGGAAGCCTGGTTCTAATGAATCAAGGTAGGTTTTGAAAAACAAGCAACTCTTTTTTTTAAAGCTTGTGAGTTCCTAAGACCAAACAAAGTCTCTGAAAGCTCTAGGTATATGACTCCAGAATCCCTGAAAAAAATTGCAAATGAAATGTGATTTTTTTTTAATGTATCAGAAGTAGAAAATTGTTTAAAATATGGGATAAGCGCATGTTTTAAATTTTAAAATTAAATTAGTTAATTTTAAAATAATATAAAATTCAGGTTTTTTATTGCGATCCTGCTTCTGTCTTGGCCTTATTTAATTTTTATAGTGCAGCATCTTAGCCTTTTCTTAAAGATCTGATATGGCCCTTGGGCTAAAAAAAAATGCGTATATCGAAACTAGATGAATATAAATTTTTAATTCTCAGAATCATTAATCTCTGATTCTCAGAGTGTGTTTGAATTTCATCTGTTTATAGTAGGGTAGTTGTGTATACAGTATATATTCTGTATTTTTTATACAGCACCTTAAGAGAATGGGGATGATAGCATAAAGGATCCATCTGGCCCAACATCTAGCCCCACAACCAGTCAGGTGTTTCTGTAAAAGAACAAAAAGATGACAAAGACACCAACCCTTCTCAGTTTGTCCCAAGGAATTGATAGTCATTGATCTACTGCTTCAAACATGGAGTTTTCTTGTAGCCTGTCATGCAAATAAATATTGAATAGCTTATTCTCTAGAAATTAAGATTATTTTCTCTTAGAGATATTCACCCAGTGGCCACATTGTGCTATGAAGAAAGAAGAAGTACTAGTTTTCATCCTTCATGAATTTACTGCCAAAATTAAATAGATAATAATAGATGATAGGTAGGTAGATGATAGATAGATAGATAGATAGATAGATAGATAGATAGATAGATAGACAGACAGACAGACAGACAGACAGACAGACAGATATTTCACTGTGTCTGAGGTATTTTAAGTGAAAGAGAAAGGTTTCTTGTGCCCTTTTCTACATGCTGTACATAATTTTATAAATTTATATCACGTTTTCTTATTTTTTTCTTTTTCTAAATAAATATCCCAACTCCTTTAAGTTTGTTTTTTATCTAAAAGTTTTGTATATTTTTATGTACTATAGATTTTAATTTCCTTCTCTAATATTCCCAAGTAATATTAAATCTGCTCTTTTCACTGCAACCTTCTTGATGTTTTCAACAAACTCTTCACCATGAGTATAATATTTTTTATTATTACCAGTATTGACAAGACATAGATTCCTTGACAAAGGCAAGGCAAGTTTATGAATAGATCTAGTTTAAATGCTCCATGCAAAAACCACATGTAGACAAGCCCTATTTCAAGCCCAAGTAACTTGCAAATATTTCACACTTTAAAAGATCATATTACTAACATAAACTTGTTCGTCTTTTTTCTTACAGGTTATCTTCAGGAAGCCTATCTTTGGACTAAACAAGTCCTAACAATCATGGAGAAATCTATAGTTCTACTGCAAGAAGTGACAGATGGCTCCCTGTACGAAGGAGTAGCTTATGGCAGCTATACCACCAGATCTCTTTTCCAGTACATATTCCTTGTCCAAAGGCATTTTGACATTAACCACTTTAAACATCCCTGGCTTAAGCAACATTTTGCTTTTATGTATAGAACAGTTCTTCCAGGCAAGTAACACAACTTAAACTACCTTATAAACAAGTATTAATTCTTAGGTGGAAAGCCCAACTGCAAGCGGCTATACATCACGACAGACTGTTTTACAAATAGCAAGAGCACTTAGACTTATATTCTGCTTCACTTATATTCTGCTTTACTGCCCTCTCTAACTGGTTTACAGCATATTGCCCCAACAATCTGGATCCTCATTTTCCCAACCTTGGAAGGATGATAGGTCGACCTTGAGCTGGTCAGGATCGAACTGCTGGCAGTCAGCACAATTAGTCTGCAATACTGCATTCTAACCACTGTGTCACCATGACTCTTATGTAGATATTAAATTTTAATATTCTAAGGCAGGGGTGTCAAACTTGCAATGTCACGTGACGTGTTGCGATGTATTGTGACTTTTTTTCCATTGCCAGCAATGTGGGCATGTTTTTGGCATGATGCATCTGGCCTGCAGGCCGGCAGTTTGACACCCCTACTCTAAGGAATGCATTCTCCAGTCCACAGAGGTTATCAAACAAACACAAAAGCCTTGCTATTTTCAAACTTAGATTACTGTATCTCAAAGTGTTAATTTAAGATGATCATAAGAATTCTAAACCTCCTTAATACCTAGCATAGCAGAGGGAAAATTCCATATTTTCAAAGACTTGGGCTGTAAAGCCTTCCAGTTCTAAGGAATATCTAATAAATTGCATCATAAGGAACATTTTTGAATAGACAAAACTTGTCATTCATTATCATGGGGGAAAAAAGATACACCTTATAGCACGAAATAACATATTATAAATTAAAGTATCATTAACTAATAATAAATGAAGCTTCTAGACTGAAAAATAAGGTAGAGAATTTTTCACAAATGAACTTAGAGAAATGTAGAGAAAAATATTTAATATGATATAACAGCTATGTTCAATATTAATTTTAAATGATACAGTTTAAACAAGATAATTTAAGTGAAGCATTAACTAGATTTTAATATGCTACAAAGAATTCTCTGTAGACATTCTGTGTGTAAATCCGAGCACATTAATGTTTTATAGTCTGACAATTTAATGATCTGATACTTTAGGGGGAAAATGCTATTAAAACTTTTATTAGAACCTTACAAATAGATATAATATTACCAACATTGTATGTAATATTGTAACTCATTAGGAGCTCTTTCTACTTTCCATCACTTAAATATGCAATATTAAGTAATATGTTTACTTGCATATGTTTTAATTTTTCCTCCTAGGATTCCAAAGAACTGTTGCTATTGCAGATTCTAACTACAATTGGTTTTATGGTCCAGAAAGCCAGTTGGTTTTCCTAGATAAATTTGTTATGCGCAATGGCAGTGGAAACTGGTTGGCTGATCAGATTCGAAGGAACAGAATACTTGAAGGCCCAGGGACACCTTCCAAAGGACAGCGTTGGTGCACACTTCATACAGAGTTTCTCTGGTATGAAATAAGTAAATATGTAATCAGTGGGCTACACTAGGGGTGGACAAGAGAAGGCAGGCACAGAAGTGAGTTTAGATATGTTTGCAGAAAGATATTGCATTTGTACCATTCTTTCTCAGCTGCACATTCCCAAGAAAGCACCGGGTTAAATAAGTACTTTTACTTTAGAAAAATCAATACATATTCTGTGCGTGTATTCTGTGCATGAATCTAGAAGAGTTAGCAACAGCATGGGTGGCAGTTGTATATAGCCTGAAATAGTGTAGAACAGGAACTGAATTGGCTTTAACAAACTAAGCGATCAAGGCAGTTAGCCCAACTGCTAGAAGTTAGCCCAACTGCTCCAGTGTGGCATTCATTTTGATTCTTCATCATTTGATTATGGAAAATGGGCAAATGTCAAATGGACTTTTTGATGCAGTAGATGAGATAGAACTTTCTTAATATGTGCCATGAAATAGTATTCTCTATCAGAGATGAGATTTGGCAAACTATAGTTCCAGAAAGTTTGTGGAAAACAGATGAGTCGTTTTGGAAGTAGATGAGCAGGGAATGAAATGAGCAGCCTTACAAAATAAAATGAGTCTTATAAAAACAGTTAGTTACGTAGAGGCATTCAGACTCTTGAAACAAAATGGGTTAGTAATAACATTCAAAGGTGTTGTCCCAATGTCCCTAAGAGGCAGGGATGTAATAATCCAGCTATAACTTGTTGGAGATAGGCTTGGCATAGAAACAAGTTAGGTAAAGTAATATAATGCTTAACATTTGTTTTAACATGGTACTACTGAACATTGTGGAGGAAACATGGATAGTTTCAAGTATGTTTTGCACTGTTGGAGGTATCTGAACTTACCTTTAGGTTTGTTGACTTTTTATACTCAGCAGTGTTGGAGTTTTGGAGAACCAAGGGGTTGTTGGTTAGCATAAGCTATGTATTCTTCCATTTTGCTTGCTTTGCATGTTCTGGTTGGCTCCTATGAATGGTTCCTATGAATGGATGCTGCTTGCAAATGATTAATGCCTTGTTGATAGATTACTTGTTTGGCCAATAATGTGTTAGTTCTATTTTATCTCTGTGTTGGTTGGTTCTTGTTTGGTGGTGTTGATAGTTGCTTGACAGTATTGCTTGGCAGTGACGTTTTTCTCTTGTAATTGTTGAAATATAGTTTGGCTTTTGGCTTTCGTTATTTGGTTGGTAAGGAGTTATTCTAGGTCTTGGTTGATTCCTGTGTGATTTGTGGAATGTGGTTGTAGGTTGGGCTGATGTGCTTATGATTTTGATAGAATTAACTCAGTACATCTCTTGATCACTATCTAGTCAGTCAGAGTACTAGGCTTCTAAGAACTCCCTTACATTTTTAAAATCTCTTTTGTGAGAATATTTCACTATTTTCCTATTGAGATTAGTGAGGTCATATTGAGTCTTTTTACAGCTAGTCAATGTTCAAGGATATAGCTTGCTAATCTTTTGTCTGTTTTGGTCTATGCAGTGATGCTTGCATTTTATTTTGTAGATTACTCCTGTTTTGTCTTCCTTTGGTACTGCGGCCTTGGATTTGCTTAGAATGCTTTATAGGGACTTTGTTTATTTGCTTACTTCAGAAATTTCAAATAGCTGGAACAACCTTTTAACATAATCCAAAGTGCCTTTGATGTAGGTAGCATTATTCTTTCTATGAATTGTGATGCTTCTGCTATTATTTAGCAGTGTAGCAAGTTACAGAAAGTAGAAATCATAACATTTTTTAAATACAATGGATACACCTGCCATTTGGAATATGTTCTTTTAAGATGTCCTTCAGTGAAGGCTGGCAAGTATCCTTTACTTAGCAACCAGACAAGTCCCTGTGACTAAAAATTGTCCAACTGAGATTGAAAAGCATTTCAAACAATTGAGGATCACAGATAATATTTCATTAATGTTCCTGCTTTGCTATTAAATAGATAAAACTGAAAAATCCGTTTCAATCAATGTGGGTTGTTTTCATGGCTTTTTAATTATTATTCAGAGTATGACAATTAAAAAGTAAATCCAATTATATTCATCGGGACTTACTGCTGAGCCGATATTTTAGAGTAGACTTTTTAGTGTGCAATCCTCTTACAAACATACTTAAAAGTAAGTCCACCTAAGTTCAGAAGAACTTATTTGAAAGAAAATACGAATATGACTGAAGTATTGGCTATTTTAATATGGAAATTTGCCATGTGTCCATTTAAGCCCTGATTTAAGCAAGCCCCAATTAGTTAAGAGGATTGGTGGCAGGTTTAAAGGACTCATTATGTTCTATTTGCATGCCACTTGGGCATCTTTTCAGCCCAACATTTTGCATATTTAGTCAGCAGTTTTTTTCACTGCATACATTCAGGCTGAAGTGTGTGTGTGTGTGTGTGTGTTTCATTGCTAGTAAGGCTTTTTTAAACTGATGAATATTTGTTTTAATACATCTTGATACTTTTTCAACTAATTTGCCACCTGAGTGTTCTTGTGAACTTTAAGCTAATTCTCCATTATACTTTATAACTGGCCCAGTTCAACCCAATGCAGTGTCTCTAAGTATGTGGGATTCCCATTATTTTCATCCAGTATCAGATAAAAGAAAGCTGCTTGATACAATATACCAATCCTGAAAATGTGCAGAATTTTTTTTTTCTTGCCAAAGAAATATAATTTTGTTAAATGCAAAACTTGCTGTTCTGCTTAACTTCTCCTTTGTCTGCAGAGCCTTCTTCCCTCTGGATGATCCTTTTCTATTTCAGATATAAAGATTTTATACTAGAAAGGGCAGAAGGATTGCTAATGGACAAGCGCAAACATTATTTAAACCAGACAGATATTTGAAAGGGCAGTGCCTGGAATGGAGCAGGGTTTTTTTCTAAATAAGTTTGCATTTTGAGTTCTTCAAATTCAGCCTACTTTTTATCAGATATATTTTTTCCAGAAATTCTAAACTATGTCAAAGCACAAATTCCTAAAATGCAAGCTATTATATTGTCTATATAAAGCAATAAGCAAACATTTACACAGTCTTCTTCATTAAAGACTATCGCAGAGTGGAATACTGTTTCATATTAACACTGACAAATGACTTCATATTTTTACATAGTAAAAAATGGAATACTGTAGTAATGTGGTTTCTTTTCATGTTTTTATTATTTCTGTCGCATCTTGAAATGCACTGATTCATGATGACTTGTAAATGGAATAAATCAACAGCTCATTCTCTTTATGTTTTTGAAAGGTATGATTCAAGCCTGGGATTTGTCCCTCCACCAGATTATGGTATTCCCAAACTTCATTATTTCGAAGACTGGGGAGTTGTAACCTATGGAAGTGCTCTGCCGGCCAAAATCAACAGCCCCTTCCTCTCCTTCAAATCAGGAAAGCTGGGAGGACGTGCAATCTATGATATTGTTCACCAGAACAAGTACAAAGAATGGATCAAAGGTTGGAGGAACTTCAATGCTGGGCATGAGCACCCAGATCAGAACTCGTTTACATTTGCCCCCAATGGTGTACCTTTCATAACAGAAGCTCTGTATGGACCAAAGTACACATTTTTAAATAATGTGCTTATGTTTTCTCCAGCTGTATCGAAGAGCTGTTTTTATCCATGGGAAGGGCAAGTTACTGAAGACTGCTCATCAAAGTGGTTGAAATATAAACATGATCTGGCTGCAGATTGCCAAGGGAGAGTAATTGCTGCTGTAGAAAAAAATGAGATCATCTTTATCAGAGGAGAAGGAGTGGGTGCATACCACCCTAAACTAAAGTTGAAAAGTGTACAAAGAAACCTATTACTTCTTCATCCCCAGCTTCTCTTGCTAGTGGACCAAATCTATCTTCAAGATGATAGTCCTGCCAAAATAGCAACTAGCTTCTTCCACAACGTTGATGTGCCATTTGAAGACACTGTTATTGATAATGTCCATGGAGCCTTCATTCAGCAACAAGACGGGATCTACAAGATGTACTGGATGGATGATACTGGATATAGTCAAAAAGCTATCATTGCCTCAAGAATGTATCCCAGAGGCTACCCTTACAATGGGACAAACTACGTGAATGTTACTACTCATCTGCGTAGCCCAATCACTAGAGTTGTATACCTCTTCATTGGACCTTCCATAGATGTCCAGAGTTTCAGTGTCCATGGGAATTCTCAGCAGCTGGATATTTTTGTAACCACCAGTGAGCATGCTTATGCCATCTATCTGTGGACCGATGAGAATAAAAGCCACTCTATCTTTGCACAAGTTATTGCAGACCATCAAAAAGTTGTGTTTGAGCGAGCTTCTGCAATTAGGAACTCCCCAGTTACAGGAGTAAAAGACAATATCGAGATAGTAGAGAAAAACCTTCAGCATTTCAAGCCTGTGTTCCAGCAGTTAGAGAAGCAGATCCTTTCACGTGTGCGGAACACTGCTAGCTTCAGAAAGACAGCTGAACGCCTACTCCGGTTTTCAGATAAGAGACAGACAGAAGAAGTCATTGACAGGATATTTGCAATTTCTCAGCAGCAACAAAACAGGGCAAAAAAGAACAAAAAGGTGGCTAAAGGCTACAAATTTGTGGATGCTGGCCCGGACATATTTGCACAAATTGAAGTCAATGAAAGAAAAATTCGGCAAAAAGCACAAAGCTTGGCCCAAAAAGAATTGCCTGTGGATGAAGAAGAAGAAATGAAAGATCTTCTGGATTTTGTAGATGTTACCTATGCGAAAGACAGAAACAGTAGGCCAATCAAAGTTCAACCTGGTCTGTCCCAAATGTTTTCTACTGCTCGAAGCAGTGCTCCTTTGGCGTCAGCATCTTACACACGTCTTTTCCTCATTCTGAATATTGTCATTTTCTTCGTTATGCTAGCAATGCAACTCACCTGGTTCCAGAAAGCCAAGAGCTTACATGGGCAAAGATGCCTTTATGCCATCTTGTTAATCGACAGTTGTATATTACTGTGGCTATATTCTTCTTGTTCCCAATCACAATGCTAGGGGGAGAAAAAGACTGTAAACGCCATTTGACCATTCTATGGTTAGGTATGTTTATGCAAAGTTGCAGAATATATTTTCTTTTCTGAATATATTCCAGGAAATAGCTATGGAATAATTGTTCTCTTTTAATCAGAGAAGATGAAATTAATGGGCATTGAGACATTTGACACATTTCTCAGATCACCACCTACATACGGGTCAAGTCTGTTCTATAAATGAATGTCATGTGCTTTTATTATGAATTCAATATGTGCATTTAATTTTCTTCTTCAAAAGCAATTTTCCTTGTCACTGAGTTGATTTACTGTATTAATTTTCGAACATATGCAACTGGGATGGTTTAATCAAAATCTTCTGGTTGTTATCATATGGATAATCTTCAGATAATAGTTCTCAGTGGTATATATTCCTTTTCACTGTTTTGCCTGTTTTAAAATACTGATGCTATTACAATTAGCATTTTCTTTTAAGTGTGGATACCATTTCTTCCCAGTTAGCCCTCAGACTTTATTTGTTTTGCTTCCACCCTAGTCAATAACTCAGAGGATCCTCTTTCAAATGTGACCTGTCATAGGATAGAAAAACCGTCTGGGCTAAGAGATGTATCTAACTTTAAATGAACCCTTGAAAGCTTCCATAGATATTCTCTTTCCATTCAGCCTCTTTTCCCATTAATCTAAGAAAACAATTATGGCTAAAGCATAGCATATTATCATTGTTTGAGTCCAGGATCCAAGTTGTATGAGCATACATTATATAAAATACAATGTATCCATAATCTAATGTCACAGACAGAAATGGTATTTTTATGAAACATTCAAACAGATTAGGTCTTCATAATTTGCTATAACTCATCAAATATTAAGTGATCAATGTATATCAGACATGTTAAACACAAGGCCCGGGGACCAGATGCGGCCCGCGAAGCCATCCTGGAAACAGTGAGGGAACAGCCCCCACTGCCTTGGTATTGACCCTGGCCAGCCAGGAGCCAATGTTCAGTTTTGTGGTGGCTATCTATGCTGAAACGCATTCAGACTTAGCTCCATAAGCCTCCCCCCCCCCGCATGGCCTGAGAGGAACAGTGAGGCTCCTCCTGTGGACCATGCCTTGGTACTTGGGCCGGTCCCACCCCCTTCTGCCAGAGACCCTCAGATCTGTCTCACTCCTGCCCAGGCCCCCACAGGTACCCTTGACGCAAATGATGTAGAGCTTGCCATGCCCACCCAGTAAGCCACACCCACTCCACGCCCACCCAGTAGGCTGCACCCACCCTGGCCATACCCACTGCCCCCCTGAGGGCAACCGCAATGCTGATGTGGCCCTCAATGAAATTTGAGTTTGACACCCCTGATGTATATCAATGTGTCAAGCAGTTTACTTGAGAAATTATGCAGAATATAAAATTGTTAAAGTTCTAGAAAGTAGAAGACCACTGAGGATGGAAGAACATACATCTGGTAGTCATTGATAATGGTATATTAGAAGGTTGCTTTCAATGCATAAGAAGATGTTATTTGTTGCAGTGTTTCTCTATAAAAATTGCAGCCTTTTCTTGGGAACACATTGGAAGTAGTTGATAAGTGAAGCCTTTGACCCTGCTAGATTTGGGTATCAAGCCAATAGGTACTAGAAATTGTTCAAACAAAGAATACTTCTGACAACCAAAAACTTTGTTTTAAAGAAAATAGCATTTGTCCCAAATGTCTTTTGCTAAATAAATAATTTCAGTTATGCATATACTTGGTTATTGATGATTACTGTTCAGTAAAGAAGATACAAATTCCTCTTTCTTTATATATGAACCTCACAGAATTTGTTGCTCAGGGGTAACTTTACAGCCTTAATATTTGTTAAATGTCTGATGGGTATATAAAGGTGTTTGGACACATTCCCCATAACACAAAGCAAAATCAAGCTCCAAGAACCAAGAATGACACATGGAATTATTTTTAAGTTGTTTCTTTTTAGTTGTTCACCTATAGACAGAATCTTGCCTGACTAAACTGTGAACTGTTAGGGAGGGGCCATCTTAACCCTCTTCCTGCCTACCAAACTTCCCAAGCTCTGCTGCCTCTTTGCCCTCTGAGAAGCAGCCCCTCCCTCCTTGGACTCCAGACTACATTCCACCCCAGGTAATGAATTATATCATTCTATCAACCCACTCCAATCTGTGCCTTCCATAACCTAGCAGTTGTGATATAATAGCTTTAGAATTAGTGGCTGATTTCAGATGATACATACATATAATAATAAATATGAAAGTTAGAGAAAGTAGCTCATAAATGAGTATATATGGGGGTTGTTTTCTGCAGAAATGGATATAGTATGTGAAATTGCACCCAAAATAGAAATTAGAAATGCAATTTAAATACAGATTTTCATGCACATAAAAAAAAATCCAAACTTATATGAAAATAAGACAAAACAGACTTGATTTTTTTGAAAAGAGAAAACCATTGCACAATAGGTGGCTTCATCTCCAACCCTACTTTTAAGAAATGCTTAGTTCACACAATACAGGTAATGGTGGTTGGAGGTGGGACAGGTAATTTGGCATATAGTGGACTCACACATTGCGTTGCATGTTTTGCATTTACAATTAAGCAGGAGGAAATGAAAACATAAACATCCCCTCCATTGGTCCTATAAAATGCAAATGCCAAACAGCCCACTCATCCCTTGTTTGGACTTAATATGCTTGCCAGTTAAAATTAAATTCAAAACAGGACAGATTCCCCAGATCATTAGTAGCAAAGAAAAAAAAATCCTATTCCATCTGCCTAAAAGAGATTTTTTCTTTAAAGCAATGAAGGTCAGTCAAAGTTTAAGGATTCCAGTGTGGTATACTCTCTGAATATTAGATGTTCCACTGTCTTTTAAGAACAAATTAATTTGTTGAGCTACAGACTTCAAAACTGCAGCTGTGTTTGGGTAACATTTATCTACATATTGGCAGAGAAAGTTTATTCCAAGTTGGGTTGTCTTCCTTTTTTAAAATGGCTAAAGCTTTTACAAATTTTCAGAATTGTTCTTCTATTGGAACAGAACCTGACTGATATTTCTTTCTGAAATTTGTATATGTAAGGTTTTCACATATATTAGCCTGTAATGTAAGTTGAATAAGCCACATCTTGAAATTTAATATTCACAACAAAAAAATATCACCTGTATTTTTCTATTCCTTTCCAAATTTTTAAAATTCCATTGTTGGCTCATCACATTTTTTCCACTGCTGTTATAATAATAAAACTTTACTGATTAACCATTAGGATATATCAGAATATAAGATATATATTTTTTCTTCTCTTCAGTCTTGTCTGATTCTTGGAGAGTGCCTGGACAAGTCCATGCAGTTTTCTTGGCAAGGTTTTTCAGAAGTGGTTTGCCATTGTCTCCTTCCTAGAGCTGAGAGAGGGAGAGAGAGAGAGAGGGACTGTCCAAAGCCACCTAGTTGACTTTGCAGCTATGGCAGGATTAGAACTCATGGTCTTCTGATTTCTAGCCTGATGCCTTAACTACCACACTAATTCAAAGGATTTTAAAGATTACTATATAAATGAGACCAGATGTCTTTCTTTTGGTATTGATACACACAAAATTGGAAAAAGTCATGGAACTTTACTTTTGTATGTGATAACATAGTATAAGATTATACTATGTACAAAGATGGAAAGTTTCTGTACTATCCACAAGGGAGGAATGGTTGATGAAATTGATAGAACTTGCTGAGATGGTCAAATTGACCTGAAAAAAACAACAACACAGTTATCTATGTTTACTGCTAACTGGAAAAGCTTTATGGTCTTTTTTTTTTTGTAAAACAGAAAAACATAAACATATGATTTACGGTTTTAGACAGTATAGAAAGATTATTTGGCAACCATACAATATTTGGTAAATTTATAATAGTAGTTACTGCTGTAAAGATCAGAAACCACTTCCTTGTATCTTTTTCTTTTTTTCTTTCTTGCACTTTTAACGCTCTCTTTAATTCCTTTCTTTTTCTTTTTCTTTTCCTTCTTACTTTATATTAGTTTGTATTACTGTGTACGTGTGCTTGTGTGTATACATAAAATGTAGACAGTCATTCCTATTAAAATAAAAATGGAAAAATCCAGGCCTTTGTGGCTCAAAGGAGCCACCTAGTGGAATATAAGTGCAAATACTGAGCACTGAAATATTAAACGTTGTAGTTTGCTTTTATTAAAATAACTTTTATATGCAGAAGCAGTGCTTTTTTTCTAAAAAAGAAAAGTGCCGGAATTCACACATGTCATACAACACGCCTTGCCTATTCTACAAGGTTCCATCCAAAAAAGGTGCCGGAACTCCATTCTGGGCGTTCTATGAGAAAAAAAGTCCTGCGCAGAAGAATCTTCTTCCCATCATGTTAATCAAGAAAAATCAGAATGTAGCTTTTTTCTTAACAACAGCTATCACACATTTTAGAACAGGACAGGATCTTCAATTTTAAGATCTGGTGACATATCTGGAATTTTGAAAAGTGAAAAATTTTGTGGGCACTTTTGCAAAATGGCTGCTGGGGATTTATCCATTTTCAAAATGACTACCATCAGGGACATAAGATTCTCAAATTGTGTTTTGCAGGAGCCTATCTGCCATTCTTTATGGTCTCCATCCTGCAGGTTATTCTTTTCTACCCCTGCTTATCTTTGTCTTGTTCTGGATTGGAGGAGAGGGGAGATTTCCAAACAGACACCCATCACTTTTATCTTCTAAGAAAACTCATGGGGCCTATTGGAAACCCAGAGAAGTCATTGGAAATGAAGATGATGTTGTAGGCTGGTGTTTTGTTCTGTAGCACACCAGCTTGTCCTATATCTCTATGATGACTCTGGTGGCCCAGTGGTTAGAATGCAGCATCGCAGGCTAACTTATTACTCTCTGCCAGCAGTTCGATTCTGACCAGCTCAAGGTTGACTCAGCCTTCTTCTGAGGTTGGTAAAATGAGGACCCAGCTTGTTGGGGGCAATTTGCTGACTCTCTAAACCGCTTAGAGAGGGCTGTAAAGCACTATGAAGCGGTATATAAGTCTAAGTGCTATTTCTAGTTTTAGCTTTATATCTGTAATTATCTTATATACTTTCATATTAGTCCATCCTTCAAAATATTTGTATGTTTTAATCTTCACGATTTATCTGTAGGTAATCCACAGATGATTTATTTTTCATGATATTTTAATGAAAGAGTTCAACAAACAGCTTATCTATTGATGGGCTTATTTGCAAATATATAAAAGATATAAAAATAGTTTTTAAAAGTATTTATGTATATATTCACAGATAAACCCATCGGTGGATAAGCCAAACTCAGTTTTGGGGTGCATTTTGGCACCTAAACTTCTCAGCTTATTCATGAGTATAGACGGTATATCCCTCTATCTTAAAAGCCAGGAGTGACTGGGAGTGTAGGGAATATCATAGGAAGCATCTGTGGACACATGGTCACTCCCCAAGCAAGGAAAACAGATGATTGTAAAAACAACTCATGCTATATTAAGTAACATAGTCCCTTAAGAAGTCTCCTAAGGGACAAATAACTTTGGTATATCTTATTATTCTGCTCAAGTACAGAGGTTCTTCATTCCTTCTTGTATGGAGTAATGACTAAGATTTTGCATGGGCATTCATAGAAAATTGAGAGATGTCAAAATGATCATTTATATGTACAGTGATATAAGGCATTCTGGTATGCAAGCAGGTGGCCTTTCTATCACAATCAATGTTGTGTTGATAAGATGGCTGCTCTATTTTCAACATCAGTAAACCCCACTATCTTGTTAATAACAATGTGCCCAACGTTCCTTAATTGTAGCTTATGATCTTTGGATGTCATTATTGATAAATACATAAAACCATGCAAATAATCAAAATATCATGAAAAATAGACAATCCATGGATTACCCATGGATAAACCAATTGTGAAAATTAAAATATACATTTTTTTTTAATTTCAGGATGCCTAGAGTCACTTTCC